CCTGGATTCCCCACTGAGGAAGTGGGGAGGGGGGCGGGATAGGCAGCCCACCTTAGTCTTAGAAACAGAGTCTCAGGGCTGGAAGGACCTTGGACGCCAAACCTGGGGCCACCCGGTGTCTCGGCACTTATGTCACCTGCCTCCCGCCTCCTCCTCCCCACAGGAACCCCAACCTGAAGACCCTCTTGTCTGTGGGAGGATGGAACTTCGGTTCTGAAAGGTAGGACCCTCCCCAGAGGAAGCTTGACTAGGAGTGTGGACACGAGGCTCACAGGGATCCCAGACTAGTTAGGCACAGGGGCCCGAAATGGCCGTCAGGGGCCCACCTGGTGTACAACCACTGAGCGGGGCACGGCCACAGCAGCTCCCATTCAGTGAGTGGTTACTAAGTGTCAGGCGCCCTTTCAGGCCATTTCACATGAAATCCTCACAGTGGCACCAAGAGTACATTCATCCCCATTTTACAGATGAGCTCACGGAGACCCAGGTTACGACCTGTGAGTGGCTTGGCTAGTGGGTGACGGAGCCTCTCTTGGGAACCAGGGTGTCTGGCTCCAAAGCACATGACTAGAGTGGGTCCTACCCTGGCCGTGTCTCCTGGGGCTGTGGGCTCAGGCTCCTTGCTCCTTGGGGCACAGAAACACCCCCAGAGGGGACCGTGCCCAGTTCTCAGCACTAAGCACTCTTCTGTGGTGATTTCATTCCTAGATTTTCCAAAATAGCCTCCAACACCCAGAGTCGCAGGACTTTCATCAAGTCGGTGCCACCGTTCCTTCGGACCCATGGCTTTGACGGGCTGGACCTGGCCTGGCTCTACCCTGGACGAAAGGACAAGCAGCATTTCACCTCTCTGGTCAAGGTGCTGGGCGGGTCCGGGACATCCAGGGAGGGCAGCCCAAGCATCTCCAGGGACCGGGGAGAGCGACCGTCCAGACAGATTGCCCACAGCACCAGCCCTGGCACGTTCACTCTGGTCTCGTGTGCCTGCGGGGACAGAGCGCAGACCAAAAGGCAGTCCCCTGGAGTCCAACTGGGATCTCGCGGTCCCTCCAGGGCAGGAGTCACTGAGTGACGGGGTAGGGGGTGGGCACAGGATGAGTCCAGGATAGGCCTGGGGACAGGACCACTGAGGTGCCACCCGTGGTCCCTGGAGCCCCTCAGGGGCCCGTGAGGTGCTCAGAACTGGCCTCCCAGCACGGGGCTCTCTGCCACCCCCGGGACCCCTTTCACCTGCGGCCTCCCTCCCACCAGGAAATGAAGGCTGAGTTTGTAAAGGAAGCCCCGAAGGAAACGCAGCTGCTGCTCCTGAGCGCCGCGGTGTCCGCCGGGAAGGTGGCCCTGGACAGAGGCTACGACATGTCCCAGCTGGCCCAGTGAGTGCCCGCCGCCTGCCCTCCGCAGGAGCCAGAGGCAGCTCAGGAGGTCACGCTCCCTCTGCGTCTCGTCTCCCCGTCCGTCGTGGGGAGAACAACACCTCTCCTTCCTTTCCACTTGGGTCTTGTACGACGGTGGAGAGAGTGGCCGGGAAGGAGTTTGCGGGAAAGGAAGTAGGAGGAGCTTACACACCAGCCACCCGAGCCCACGAGGCTCAGTGCTCCTCCCTGAGCGGCTTTTCCTTGCCAGATGGTCAGGGCAGCCTGAGAGGCTCACTCAGGCGGGTCCCCCTGTTCCTCAGCCTGCCCCCGGACCCCCAAATGAGGAGCAGCCACAGCCAAGGGCCTGATGGCCGGTGGGGCTAAGGCCTGGGCCTCAGGAAGCCAGGAGTGAAGGACAAGGGCTCTGCTATGACGTCAGGTCTTCTTTACCACCTTCGGGGGGTGGAGACTCAGAGCCTAAATGCACCATGAGGAGGGGAGGACTCAGGCATTTCCCCCAATACCTGACGCTCAGGTCCACGAGTCCACCTGCTGCCTCCTGTGTGCGTGTCCAGGTCTGGTGCCCTTTGTCCTGCTGTCTGTTGATGACACTTTTTAAAAAATATATTTTTACTAGAGACTCAGTGTATGAAAATTCATGCAGTGGAGGGGGATCCCTCAGCCTGGCCTGCCCCCTCTCACAGTCCAGGAGCCCTCAGGGGCGGGGGGCGACCTGGCAATCAGGGGAAGGTGACACCCCCATCACACCTCTGCTGCTGCCACTGCCAGCAGCGCAAGCCTCGGCCGGCCCTGGTTACCTGAGCCTCGGTGGCCCTGGGTGGCTGGGCAGCTGCCATCCAAGGCTTGCCTGTGCCTTGAGCCGGCCCTGGATGGCTGGGGGCCTGGCCTTGCCATGTGCCTGCCTCTGAATTCCCACAGTCCCCTCAGCACCCTAGCCACCCAGGGCCAACATCCAAGGCTTGCCTGTGTCTCAGGCTAGCCCTGGGAGGCTGGGGGGCTAAGGGGACTGGGGAACTCTAGAGGTAGGTGCATGGCAAGACCCAGCCCGCCTGGGGGCAGGCCCAGCCTTGCAGCATGCCTGCTGCCCTGGCGGGGCTGAGGGGACTGGGCACTACCATCTTGTGGCTGTGGGTGCCGCCATCTCTGAGGGTGGGGCAGTCATTTAGCATATTCCCTCCTAATTAGCTGTGGGAACCACCATCTTTGTGACAGCATGATGGTCAATTAGCATATTTCCTCTTTATTAGACAGGATTGATGTCAGAGAGGAAGGGAGAGGGAGACATAGAAACATCGATGCTGAGAGAGAATAATGGATCAGCGGCCTCCTGCAGGCCTTCTACTGGGGATGGAGCCCATAACCCAGGCATGTGCCCTAACCGGGAATCAGACCTGACCTCCCAGTTCATAGGTCAACACTCAACCACTGAGCCACAGCAGACGGGCAGTTGATGACAGCTTTAATCTACTCTCAGCACAATGAACGGATGGGCTGGAGGGGTCCGGTCTGGGAGCCTGGACAGTGGCTTGCTGGGCGGGACTGGGTTGAGTGGAGGGCCTGTCTCTCCAGTCTGCCCTGCTCACATCCCGCGGGACTGGCAGCTTCTCTAGTTCCCACCTCGCTCTCCCTCCGCTCCCACAGACACCTGGACTTCATCAACCTCCTGACCTACGACTTCCATGGAGCATGGCGCCAGAGCACGGGACACCACAGCCCCCTGTTCCGAGGCCAGGAGGTCGCCAGTTCTGACAGATACAGCAACGCTGTGAGTGGGGGAGGGTCCTGCAAGGCAGGGGCTACGGTCCCAGGTCATAGATGCAGAGACTGAGGCCCAGGGGCCACGTGTCCCCACAGTCTGAGGACAGAGGGCACCACCCCTCTGTGGAGAAGCCAGACCTCAACTGATGGCCCCGGGGGGCGCATGCAGGCCGAGGGGGGACGAGAGGATGGGGGCCCGGGGCTGAGGAGGCCGGTCGGGTCTAGACCTGCCTTTCGCTGACCGTGGAGCCTGAGCCTGCCGTCCGGTGTCACAGCTGTTGTAGCTGACACTCCTCCCTGTGCTCAGAAGGCTTTCTGAGACCCAAGCTGTGCAGTGCCCTTTAGACTGAGGTTATGGGTCCCCGGGAGGCAGGGAAGCCCCAGGAGTGTGTAGGACAGACTGACAGCTACACTGTCCCCCACCCCCCAGGCCTACGCCGTGGGCTACGCGCTCAGGCTGGGGGTCCCGGCCAAGAAGCTGCTCATGGGCATCCCCACCTTCGGGAGGAGCTTCACACTGGCCTCTTCGAAGATCGGAGTGGGAGCCCCCATCTCAGGGCCCGGGCTGCCCGGCCAGTTCACCAAGGAAGGCGGGATCCTCGCTTACTATGAGGTGTGACTCGGGAGAAGGGACTTCCTGGGGAAGGTGAGCCGACGCCCACCCGCTTCTGTTCTTCGTGTTCCAGGGGACGGGCGTCCAGGCTGAGGGGAGTCAGGCACACCCGGTCTTCCTCTGTCTGACAGCCCCAGGTGCTTTGGTTTCTGGCGGCCTCTGCCGTTCGCAGCCAGGGCCACACAGCTGGGGACATGGGCCTCTGTTACCACAGCAAGCGGGCAGCCAGGCGTCTGCCGAGGGCACATGTGCCTGCGGCTGAGGGGCTGGAGGAGTCGCACCCTGTGCCCTGCAGCCCCTCACACCCTGACTGTCCTCTGCTCAGATCTGTGACTTCCTTCGTGGTGCGACTGTGCATCGACTCCCTGACCAGCGGGTCCCCTATGCCACCAAGGGCAACCAGTGGGTGGGGTACGATGACCAGGAGAGCGTCAAAAACAAGGTAGGTCTCGCAGGCCATGCCCCAGGAGGGAGAGGGAGAGGAGCCCAGGGTGCCCTGCTGGAGGGCGATGCTGAGTCACCTGGGGAGGGGCCAGGACAGCAGGTCCCCCCTACACACATCAGGCAGGTAACCCAGCGCTGCCCCTCTGGGCCTCCCCTGCCAGGTGCAGTACCTGAAGAACCAGGGGCTGGCAGGAGCCATGGTGTGGGCCCTGGACCTGGACGACTTCCGTGGCACCTTCTGCGGCCAGAATCTTCACTTCCCCCTCACCAGCGCCATCAAGGAAGCCCTGGCTGCCGCCTAGCGCTCCGTCCGTCCAGCACATGCTGGGCAGGGGTTCTTGCTCCCAGGGTTCTTGCTGCTCAGGAGCTGGTCACCTGCCCCGCTGCACCTCAGTCTCCTTCCCTGGCCCTGCCGAGGGTCCAGCTCTGAGCTCTGCGCTCAGCTCTGTGGGCTTGCAGGGGGCGGCGGGGCTGTGGGCAGTGAGGGCTGGACCCCCAGTGTCAGGCAGGGACAGCGCACACGTTGAGGAGTGAAAACGCCACTCCCTCCCTGGGCCTCCTCGGCAGAGGCCACACGAGCAAGCTCTGCCACCCAGCACAGACGTCATGCAGGAAGCAGTGACCACACAGATCACAGCCTCCGCAGGCCCAGCTTCAAACCTCCACGAGGAGCGTCCTCGTGCCCCCCTCCCAACCCCCAGCTGCTCAATAAAGCACCAGAAGCTCTGTGTTGGCACTTGCTGACCCGTCTCTGAGGCCCGTGGGCTCCTCTCTCCCCTCTCGTCTGGGTTCCTCTCTCCCAAGTTTGGGGGCCCTGAGCTTGCAGAAGGGGAAGCCAGCACGGGCACTGCCAGGGCCTTGGGAGTCCCCAAAAGAGGCAGCCTCTTCAAACCCGCCTGCCCGGCTCCACCCGGCAGGGCTGAGAGCGTCCACTGGAGCTCACTGTCATCCAGAGCCCTCGCCTCAGCTCCTTGTTGAGAGAACCCTGTTTCTGTAAGGCCAGCAGGAAGGAGAAGGGGGGACGCCCCAATCCTAACCCTTCATCTGCCAGGGGAGATGTAGGCGCCAGCACAGGGCCAGGGTGCAGAGCTCTGACTCAACTTCCAGCTGGAAGGAGACACCAGGTTGCATCACGCGTCCTCCCTTCGCCCAGGTCTGGATCGTTTCCCCATGGTCCTGCCATTCCCAAGGGCTCTCTGCCATGGAGGGACCCTTCCCATCGCCACAGCAACCCCATCCCCTCCTCTCTCTCCTGGGACACACTGAGCCCTCAATCCAGCAGGGCTCCTCAGCCAGGCTGGCCTGAGACATGGGGTGGGCAGGAGGGGACGTGTGGGATGACTGCTGTGCAAGCAGAGAAAGTCCTCGAGGATTCGCTCGTGGAGGCTCTGGTGTTTGGACTCTGTGACTTGGCCAGTGGTTTGTGACGCTGGTTTGAGGTGCAGGGAAGGAAATACCTATTGGCTGCATTGAAATCTGAACCAGCAGGAGCTGGGCAGATGCAGCTGGTCTCAAGGTCACAGCTCAGCCAAAGGCACGGAAGGTGGGGACCTGGCCAGAGCCTGGGGGTACATGACCTTTCCCCGCCGGCCAGTGCGGCCGAGCTTCCCTGATCCCTGAAAGAAATACAGGCCGTGCGTGCTTTCGCGTGTACGGGGTGCCCACCACACAGGGTCTTTGAAAGCCGGGCTATGAGCCCTCCGGGGCGGCCACCCCTCCACCCTGCCCCCTGGGCCAGCCTTCCTCCGACTGGGACATGCCCGGCAGGGGTGACTCAGGGTCCTGCACTTAGTCACGTTCACTTATAGCTGCAGACTCAGCGCAAGGGATGGGGATCGGTCTCCAGGACCCACCCCTGCCCGCAGGACCCCGAGTCGCCTGGCACCGGCCCCCACGCCACTCCCCACAAGGACAGCCAGGGGAGAGAAGCAGCCACACACATGTGCCTCACCCCGGGGACAGAGAAGACGGTGCCTGCGGCTGAAGACCTGCATAAGCTACATGTGTGCTGGACTTGACACAGAGGACACCGTCCAGATGAAGCAGGCCTGGCCTGTGTTTCTTTCACTTAAAGAAGTGCTTTATTGTGAAAACTTGTGTAGCTGCCACCCAGGATAGGAAACGAGACCTCAGAAATGCTCCTGAAACTCTGCTCGCGGCAGCCACACCCTGGCTTCCTGGGGGTCTCGCCACCTGGGGACGCCCCTGGGAGCAGAGAGCCGGCCACTGACTGCGTCTGCATTGGATGTGGGTGGGATGGCGGCGTGGTGCTTGGTGGGTGCAGACTCTCACAGTCGCCTACGCACCCCCGCAGGGGCAGTGCTCTCCGAGCTGCCGGCTGTGGCACATGATCCTGTGGGGACGGTTCCTGCAGGGCTGTCTCCCGAGAGCCTCAGGCTGACACCGCGGGGCGTGGAGTGTGCACTGTACTCGGTCCCATCTCACATTTTCAAAAGGGGATTCCTCCGTCCACACGCCCAGCAGCAGTAAGAGCTCTGGTCTCCGTCTCCCTGACCCTAGTGTTGTCCGGATTTAGATGGTCACCAATCTGACATGTTAGGGATGAACGAACCAGAGACTGCAAATATGTACCGGCCTCATTTCCTCCACTGCCAATGCCCACGCCAGGCCCTGCTTTGAAGCATCTAGAAGGTTCCGAGTGCTGGCTTCCTCCATGGTCCTTCCACGCCTGCCTTACTGACATGAACCACCCCAGGGCTGGGGGTCTGTCAGCGGCACTGTGATAGGTGGGGCACCGGAGGCCCCAAGAGGGTCCTGCCAGCATCTCAGAGAGGCAGTGACAGGGCCCTGGACCCCCTTCCTGGGATCCCGTTGCTGAGGGACACACCTTGGCACCCCAACTCCTCCCTCTCTAGGGCCCCCGGCAGCATACAGCACAAGGGAGACCCCCGGGAATGGGAGGGCAAGGGCATGGCTCCCATGGGAAGCTATTTCGGGCAGTCTGGGCCCCAGCCCCAGGCTCCGGGGCCTGGCCACACGTGACCCCCAGGAGGCCAAGGCGGCCTGAGCTGGGTTCACCCTCCAGATGGAAGCTCTCGTTGCCACTGCCCTGACCCCTGGCACCGGCCACTGCCAGCGTCCTATCTCACCCATCTGTGCCTTCCTCCCATCTGGGCACCAGCACCCTGGCTGCTGGGAGCCAACCCGGGTGATGGACGACACAGTGCCCTCTCAAGGGACCCTCCGTCCCTCCCCCAGAGCTATTCCTGGCCCAGGCGCCTCCCCACTCCCAGCCCCCACCTGGCCTGACCCCACAGCTGGGAGCCATTTGGCCGGGGGTGGGGCAGCCCTGCCTATATAAGCCTGGTCCTAGGTGTCCCAGGCACCCTGGAGGCCCAGACCCTCCACAGCTGACCTCTGCACACTCAGCCTGACCACAGCCAGCCCGGCAATGACAGCGACCTCGCAGGCCCCTGACTATGGTCCGGAGGAGCCCGCCTCCGAGGTGCCCAAGGTGCCCACGGAGCCCTCGGGAGAAGGGGCAGCATCGAAGGCCTCAGGGCAGGAGCAGCCTCCCACAGCAACCACTGAGGCTCCTGCCCCCGCAGCCTCGCAGGCCCCTGACCGTGGTCCGGAGGAGCCCGCCTCAGAGGTGCCCACGGAGCCCATGGAGCCCACGGTGCCCACAGAACCCTCAGGAGAAGGGGCAGCATCGGAGGCCACGGGGGAGGAGCAGGCTCCCACGGCAACCCCTGAGGCACCTGCCCCCGAAGCCACTACACCTGCACCTCGAAGTGAAGGTGACCAGAGGTGGGGCGGGCAGAGGAGGGGCAGGCAGGGTCGAAGATGGGGGGACTCTGGGCCACACACCTTTCCTCTCCCCTCCTTCTCCCATAGACGTGCCCAGTGTCCCACTGCAGCTGACCATCGAGGACGTGAGCGACTGCTCGGTGACCGTTAGCTGGGAGCCTCCGGAGAGGCTGGGGAGTCAGGGCCTCCAGGGTTACCTGCTGGAGCTCCGCAAGGAGGGAGGTGAGCGCTGGGCAAAGCCCCGCGGGCACCAGAGCGTGGGCTTGGGGGCCGCAAGCCCCAGACCCCACTCCGTGCCGGGAACACGAGGAGGCAGGAGGGTCAGCGTGTCCCCAGGAAGTGCTTGTCCCCCAGCTCCGGGGAGCACCTGAGTGGCAGCGCCCGGGATGGGACGGTGCACTGCTCTGCGGAGAAGTGAGGGAGGGGCTGCCTCTCAGAAGACCCCGCGGGGGGGAGGGCAAGCAGGAGGCAGAGCAGAGGAGCTGGGGGTGGAGGGAGGGTGAGACGGGGAGGAGAAATGGGGCACATTCCTGTGTCCGCCTCCATGGCAGCCAAGCTCGGCCTGGCCTCGGCCTCTGCCCCGACCTTGCTGTGCGACTTGGTCACTGTGTCCTCCCTCGGAGCTGGAGAGCCCTCCTCTGGCCACTCGCCCGGCCCTCCCATCGGGTGTCCTCCATAATAGAAACGAGGGGCCGGGAACGGGCGGAAAGGGGAACTAGGCCCAGCTCCTCGGCAAGATGGGTGCCCGTGGCCACGAAGCCAGGGCCTCCGGCCTCTCCCTCCTCAGCCTCGGAATGGGTGCCCGTGAACGCTGGGCCCATGATGGTGACCCAGCAGACCGTGCGGAAACTGGCCCCGGGAGACAAGTTCTTCCTGCGCGTGGCTGCTGTGAGCCCTGCGGGAGCCGGCCCCCCCGCGACGCTGGACCAGCCCATCCACATCCGGGAGATCATCGGTAAGGCCTGGCGTCCCGCCCCAGCCCGTCCCAGGCACCCATGGGGTGGATGGAGAAGCCGAGGCCAATGGGCAGAGAGGACAGGCCGTCATTCCCGACCCTATCATGCGCACAAGCCACGTGCTGTCGCCATCTTGCCTTTAGAAAGTTCCAGGTTCCCAGCAGCAAGGACCCTCTGAAGGTCCAAGAGCCCATTTCTCTGAGTGGCCCATCACCCAAGCTTTGGGGAAAGGGCTTCCTGACCCCAAAAATGAAGGCTCAGCTCCCTGGTCACCTGCCTGAGGGTCCCAATGCTACACTCATTCTGCCCGTCGACCTGTCTAGTCTTCCCCTGAGAGCCGTGAACGCTCCTTCCTGCTCCTTCTGCTCCTTCCTCTGGCCTGGGTTCCAGAGCTCCCTTGGGGTCCAGGTCTCTGGTGGGAGGAAGACAGGGCCCTCGAACGGCCCAGGAAGGTTTCTCCATCCCCAGAGAGCAGCACCACCCTGGGGACCTGGGAGCCCAGCTGTTTCCCTTGCTAAGATTTCTATTTGTGGGGTGCAACCAGCCTCACACCTACCCCTGTTCCCTGCCAGAGCCGGTCAGGTTTCAGTCTGTTCACGGCCGTGAGTCATTCCTTCTGCTCCAAGGTCTCTGGGGACAGCCCAGGGCGCAGTGAGGAGAAGCACAGGCCAGCAGGTGGCTGAGGCCTCCTCACCTCCGTCCTCGCTCCGCACCTCCAGCCTCAGAGGGGGACGCACAGGTCTGAGCAAGGCCTCCAGAAACAGGGGCTTTCACGGCCACAGGGAGGGTCAAGCTTGGGTTCAAGGCGATAATCTCAGCTCCAGGGCCCGGGAGGTGTGACCACGGGAACTTAGAGCCCTTGGCTCTCAGGCTGGTCCCCAGGATCAGGGACTCTGGGGAGACCCAGGGCCTGGTGCAGCCCCTCCCAGAACCTGCCTCCACACAGGACCTCTCCTGCCTCCAGGGGGCAGGGAATGTTCTCCCTGGTTTTCAAAAGCCAAGGGTGCTCCCAGCCTTAGAGTCTGCAGCGCAGACACAGAGACCTGCAGGGAGGGCCCTGGACCTTCCCCGGGGCCCCAGGGAGCTCAGGCTCTGCGAGGCCGCAGGGCCCGGCCTCTACCCCGAAGCCCAGCGCTGACAGCCAGCCTCGGCCCCTGCTGCTCCGAGAATTCCTCTGGCAGCCGAGAAGGGGATTTCCTGGAGAGAAGAGGGGAGAGACTGTGAACAAACAGGGGCCAGCCAGCCCTCCTGGTGGGCAGGGCAGGGTGGGGGCCTGTCCAGGTTCCTCAGCTGCTCAGCTGTCCCTCCTTGGCCACCTGCAGCTGCCAAGCATTCCACCCCGAAGCTCCGAGAGCCAAGTGCCCACACAGCTAATCCTCAGAGACACAGTGTTCCTTCTCCCTGTCTCCTCCCTCCGCCCTGTGAGCTACCAACTGCTGCCACCTGTCCACCCAGAAGCTTCAGTCACCACCCCCACCCCCGCCCGGGGCAGCGGCTTGGCTGCGCTGCCTCCCCAGCAATGCCCGTGGTGCAGGGCTGCACCTGGTTGGGTGATGGTCAGGACCGTGGTGTCCTGTCCTCATAGATTCCAGAAAGGCTT